AAGGCCACAAACAAAACTTATGACATTTGAAAAACTTTGTTTTGCTAATTTATACTATTTTACATTGAGATTTTTTGCCTACAACATTTTCCATAAATACCTTAGGGCAGTGGATTTCCACCCGATCTTTGCAGTGAGAAAGTAACCCCCATTCCGTCATAATGCGGTAGTTTTTTGACGGGTGTGTCCAAAGCCGGCTGCCCACTGCCTCCTCTCTGCTGCAGTCCACCATCACTCTCCATCCTCTGTCACCAGCTCGCTGTAGGAATCCTCATGATACGAGCTCAATTCTCCTGAATGATCCTCTCCTCAAAGGCTGAAATGAGGAATTCCTGCAAAAAAAGTTTTAATGTTTAATTAAAAAAATATGAACTGGGATTACCTGAGACTTCTTCATAATCTTGTTTATCACAAGGACTACAGATCTTTACAAAGAATGTTACCGTTTCTGAGACAAACAGCTCATGGGGGTCGTCACCCTCTTCGTTCAGCTTCGTATTGGCTCACAACCAACAGAAGGGCTCCTGGACCACTGTCGTCGTTACTTCAGTTTTATACGTCACGTATGTTGCTTCATATAAGCTGTCGTATTCCTCTGTAAAAATAATGCACAAACACTGTGAAGCCAAGGACAGAAGATCCTTTTAAGTCAGCGTTCAGATGCGATAAAAAATCAACTGGATGGAGAAAACAAAAAGGATTGCCAGTACTTCGCTCCAGGGCCAGCGGAGCTGAGGCTTCCCCATGAGGATCTTACGAAGGATGGAGTACTCCAGCATCATCAGCAAACGTCATGGAGACTCTCCAGTTTGCATTCTCAGTCTCCTTCTTTGTAGGCGACTTTGTATCTGATGGCAAAAACACAAAAACAATAGTAAATTGTGATTCTGTAAACCAAGAGATTCCAGCCAAACAATTCAAAGAGAGAAGCTGGTAGTATTCGTCAAAACCTGGGAACTTTGCTTTTCCTCTTTATTTCAACTTTTCTAATAGGAAGATTGCATTTGTTCTCCACCAAAAATAGTAACTGCTTATCCTGTACAGCCACTCTGATATTTAAAAACTAAAAGTGTGTTAGCTAAAACATGCTGTCAAATTAAATTAAGTTACAATAAACACTTATATACTGTGAATAAAGTCTAAACACGAGATGAGAGCCATTTAAAAACGACTTAATAATCATGTTAATCAAACAAAGTTCACGACTGTTAAAAATACATGAAAATGTTTAAATACTGAAAGACAAATAAATAGAAGGAAATATTTTTATGTATAAATTACAAGCGTGAAGCTAACAACCTTTGCTGCTAACACTGTCTAGTAGCTAAGTTAGCTAACACTTTTGGGGAAGATTTGACCTGTATCCAGTAGTGAGGCAAACACCGCTCTTCATGCCAGATGCATGTGAGGTTTTGGATTTCCTCCGACCGGCATTCGAAGACGACGCTTCCTCCCTCCACCAGCTTCTGAACAGTGGGTTTCTTGATGAAGAAGGGAGGCAGCGGACTCTCGCGGTGAGCGACGCTCTTCACCATCTGTTCCTTTGTCTCTACAGCACACTGAAGGAAAACCACACAGCTCCGTCAAACACTACAACTGTGGGAAACTACATGAAATAGTACAGACAGCTGTTAGGACTGTCTTAAAAAAAGACTTTGACTCAGTTTTCTCTTTTGTGATTCCAATTTTAGTGGACAGTCGTCTCCTCTCTGCTCATCAATTTCTTCTGACACTACAAACAGAGGTGTTTCATTATTAAAACTTTAATTTTTTTCAAGTTCCACACCGACATTTTAAGTTATATTTTACTTAAGCTTCAGACATCCATCAATTTACTCCAAAAGAATCAAAGTTTAAAATTGTATTATAATAGAAAATAAGCCTAAAACAAATTAACATTTGTCAGAAGACAAAACTAGTCAGTAAGTCACGAGTTAAAGTAGGTAAAGAGAGACTTGTACTTTACAGTGGTTACTACTCCAACAGGCCTGGTTTACCTATCCTACCACCATTACTTTTGACGAGCAGGTAGCAGGAGGTGCTGACGTTTTCCCGCCTCGGCTGGTGCGGTGCAGGTGAACGTCCGCGTTACCCCCGGAAAAAAAGACAAAAAAAAAAAAAAAAAACCCCCCCCCCCCCGGGGGGCCCCCGCCTCAGTTCCCACCGGCCGGTGGGGGGCTACAAACACCCACGCCGCCTCGATACATGCCCTCCGCTCGCATCCCCGAATCCCCACCGCACCCCAAATAAAACCCCCCCCCTGAGGGGCAATCGTCTCGTAGCTGATCTGGAAATCAATTGGAGCTCTCGATCTTTAGTCCTCTCTGAACACAATGATGACGGGAGCTGGGTGGTGCGCTTGAATTCTGACATCCAGGGTCATGGACTCTCCCTCGTCAACCGTCACGTTCTTCAGCCCTGAACAGGAAACAGACACCTTCACGACTAAAGCTGTCGGTTTCTCAAACTCGCTGACTGCAAGAACATATTCCTACATCAGGAAGTAAAAAATATGGGGGGACAGACAAAAACAACAGAGGTGAACAACTACTCAGATCTTTGACTTTAGTAAAAGTACAGAAGTATACCCAGGTAAAATGCTACTTAAAGTCTCAAAAGTAAAAATTATTATCATCAGATTATTAATCCTGATCATCGATGCTTCAGCAGGGATTTTACAGTATTCAGTGCACGGGTGCCTCAGCTCCGAGGCATCTATTAAATATTCCCTTTGGCTTATTATTATTCTTCTTCATTGACACCTAATGTAATCGGTTTTTCTTTCAAAAGACTCACTCTGTCTTCGCACTGAGCTTACTCACTCATTTTAAGGAATATCATGAATAAAATAGAGCGTAAGAAACTTCTGGCGTCAGTGTCTGTCACGGTGTTTCGGGTTTTTGAAAGAAGTAACGGTTTTCTCATAATTTGCAATTGTTTGAAGCCATGTAGAAGCCAAATTCTGGCATTATTCACATGCCATGGCAACGGCAGGCCACTACCTGTGTGCGTGCAGCTGCGGTGCGCCTAGCACCAGATAACCAACTCTCCAGTCCGCTAGCTTTACATTAGCCGCATGTTAGGTCTTAAAATTACATTTAGTTAGGTCATTAAATATGTAAGTCCAAATTTACTGCCCTTCCTTTGTTGCTTTTCTTTTTGTTGTGTTTAAATGAGTAAATGTTGAAGTTGTGATGGTCTCCGCTGAGACAGAGGAAGGAGAAGCTACTAAAACCCTCTCTCCTGTCACTTTCTAGTCACGTTGCTCTCCTCCCCATAATGTTAAATTTAGCACGAAAAAAAACATTAATAGTGGTATTAAATAGCGGTTCAGTGGGATTTATTAACCCTTCAGGGTCCCTCTGTCCTTTTTTGGACATTTCTTCACTTTTCTTTTTTGATTAGCTGATCATTTTGGCTGTGTTACAGCTGAAGGTATGGATTTTTCTGCCAAGAAGTGTCTTTTTTGACATATTTTTAAAATCTTAATGTCATTCTGTTACAGGTCTATTAACACTGGTAACACATTTGTACCCTCTGGGGTTCCTCGCCGCCAAAAAAAGGACACAAAAATAAATGCTATTAAAATCATCATATATCAGATATTTTTTTGCTTTTTTTTTGCATACATCTCTTAAACCAACTTCAGTTCGGCTTCAAACCTACCAAATGTTTATAGTTTTCAGGATTAACCCTGTAAATGCAGTTTGAGACATGTTGCCTCTGTTTTATTAAAAAAAAACAAACTACAGGAATATGAGGCATATTCCCACATAATACATGATGGAGGGGAAGTGAACATTGTTTTATATCAGAGTCTTTATAATCAAGACATTTCTCAAAACCAGAATATGATCAGGGTGACTTTTGAACACTGAAATAAAATCATGTGCCTCATCCCGCAGTAGCCCCCGTGCACCTCAAAAATTTCCTGGAATTTTCTAGTTTTATTATGATTTATAATATATTATTAGTTTAATGGTTTTAGTGAAATAGAAAAAAAACCCTTTGTTAACACAAACTGACTGTTGAACCACATTTCATAACGATCCATCCAGTGAGCTGTGAGATATTTTACTAAAACCCAAAAACATCAAAACTCTGGTGCGCAGGAGGAAAAAGTCAAGAGGATGAACAACGAGTTCAGATTCATCCTCTGGGGAACACGGACTGGAAAGTCCAGTCCAGCAGCTGTTGAACAAGTATCAGTCTGGATCAAAGTGGATGGACCGACCGAACGCTGCCGTCACCAAAAAGACTCTTTACATGTTCTATTTTTGGAAGGAAGGAAACAGGAATAACTTACAGACGATCAGAGGGGAGGGACCACACGGCTCCTGGGCTTCTCGTGGCACAGCAGCCGCTCCTGAGGAGAAACAAGCAGCAGAGTCCAAACACCATGACAACGTGAAACATCAATGTGACAGTCTGTGAGGATGGAGGGAGAAAGCCAGTTAGAAACAATAAAACCCTGAGAGAGAATGAGGGGTCAGACAGGTGAAGACAGGAGAAAGAAGAACAGGGCTTCTTCTGAGGAGGTGAAGGCAGCGGTGATTGGCTGCGGTGAAGAGGGAACGCAGTGACAGTCCACACGGGGGTTAAATTGGGGGAGTGAAGTGTGTGCGGGGAGCGGTGTCGGACCAACCTGAGGCTCCAGTCCTCAAACTTCCTCTCACTCACTGCTAAGCGGCCCACCCTGCTGTAACTCAACTGACTTGATATCTGACGTCTTTTGAATGGTGGTGGAGGCTCCGGCGTCACCCGCACCCTCCACCGCCCCCGCGAGATGGAAACTGGAAACTTGACGGGTTTGATGACCCTCTTTCTGCGGGCGGCGGCGGAGAGACAGCTCTTGTGCAGTAAGTGGCGATGGGCAGAAGCCGGCGATGGACACCTGACCGAAGCCAATGAGAGACAGTGTAACAGGACTGTCCACGGACCAACGGGGGAGGGGTTAGTGAGAGCCAGGAGAGTGGAGTAATGTTGCTGGGCCATAAGTCCTAACACAAAATATGACGCCCACCTACAAAGGTTACTGAGAGTTTAACTTTTCATGATTTATTCGTTCTCGACAAGCTTCATTTATCTGGAAACATATCCACACAAATGTTAACTGAGTTTAATTTACAAAATAATTACAACTAAATCCAAACCTACAACAATAATTAGCCAGAGTTTAGAACCTGCCTGTGTCTCCAGGACTCCTGGAGGTTTGATTTACTGAAACTTTCAACCAAAAAACAACTGAATAGTAAAGTTTGATAAAAGTAGAAAATCGTGATGAAAACAGGGAAATGATTTATAGATTTTAGATTTTTCTGCTTCAGAGAGAAAAAGCTGATGAAATATATTTTAGGATTGTGACACTGTGAGCGCATGGTCCAGATGCAATCACACCACATCACAGCACAGTGAGACTGCATGTTAAGAATGGTGTGTTGTAAAGATGAAACATGGGGTTTGTGGATGACGACGGCGGGCACTGCGGTTCCTTCCTTACTCGTGGCTCGACTTCATGTTTAGGGACAAAGAAACTTTAGAGACTGTGAAAATGTGGGGGACTGAGGACGCGGAGACACCAGAGTCCACGTAGGAGGAGATTTCTGTTGTTCTCTGAATCTGGAGAACAAACAAGTTTCATGGACGGTTAAGAAAGCTCAGACTCTTGAGATATTATTACAGAAATCACATCATGGTTGATATGGACTGAGGAAACTCCCCCGACCGGAGACCTGGACTCTGTGCTGCTTGAGGTCACGGCGACGTCAGCCGCTGTTTGTAGCGCGACAGTTGTTTCTCTGCCGCCTGCTGCCTTATCGCCAACCTCCCACAGCCGTCCTGCCTCTTCAGCCTCCACCGCCTCTGCATGCACGGGCGGCGGACGCGGAGCCAGGTCGACGGCGGCCACCACTTGGCCCACCGCCCCGGCCTTTCCCTCCTCAGCTGGAGACACAACACAAGCAGCACAGTAGATTCCAGCAATCATGGCAACGTGACAGGAGGAGGAAACTCGAACCAGAAGCCCAAAGGACAAAGAATAAATATTCATACATTAAAGATACAAGAGAAGAAGAATATTTGAATCGATGACATCATTGCTCATGCAACATTAGAGTGAAACATGCAACTTTATTCTCATTAAGAGTGACGCGGAGAGAAAGAATTGACTGACCTTGTGAATTCATAAAAACAGCAGATACAGAAAAAGGTCAAGAGACGTTCAAGAAACACACCTTTTCAACAACACGTTCATATCACACTGAGTTTGTCTTGATTCTACAGTCTCATGATAGAAACTGCTAAAGCAACAAACTAAATATATAGAATAACAAACAACGAGATTTTCAGTCACTGTGGTTGGTTGGTCAACAAATAGCTCAGATGCTAACTGCTGCTAAAACCCCTAAAAGTTAACTCAAAATTTGGGCAAATTGAGTTGAATTACACAGAAAACCATCAAAGTAAAAACCTGAGTGAAGCTCAGACGATTGAAAACCATGATGGAGATCTGTCATATTTAAAAAAAAAAAATTCATGTCTGGTGTTTCCCACCTGTTTGATTCGTCTCACACCCACGTGGCGTCCCACAGGGTTCAAATTCTCGGCCCTTTTAATTTAGTTTCTATATGCTACCACTGACTTACACATACTGCCAGCCATTATTTACCCCAATGAAAACACAGTGTACGTCTCCATTTAATTCCACCTATTCAATTTTAAAACTTATTAACTCAGGAGTTCAGGGCTGGAGAAAATGTAAAAGAGAATTAAAGAAACCATGAAACAAAAACTCTGTGCTTTCTTAGAAACTGTCGATTTCCAGGTCTGGACAATCTCTGCTACCTCAGAAATATGATCTGATTGACATCTAAATATGTGAATGATTTAGTCTTGGGGGGGGGTGAAAATGGTTGATTCCTCTTTGGGAGCAGGAATGTGCTCTATGAAGTGACAAAACACTTCCCATGAACGAGAAGAAAGAGGGAAAAAAAGATGAAGTGACGGTCTGACTGGGTGGCAAAGGTGGAGGTCGATCGCGAGCAGACGTGGGGCGGTGAGGGTGGAGAGGGCGTCTACTGTACTCCAGCCACTGCGTGCCTCAGACGGCCCCCGGTGGCGCTGATCCACGGCTGCAACCACAGTAGCCACGCGCCACCTTTATCGTCCACGGAAACACCCACCCCCCCCCCCTCAGCCTCCCTCCCCTCCGCCCTCACGTCCCATGACGGTCCACATCGACAAAAACAACATTGATCACATGACATAGGAACACGTGATCACATGATCACCACCACATAGCTTGAGGACACATTTTCACTGGTAGTTCAGTACGTCACGAATCACAGCCAGTACACTCACATCCATTCATGTCTCCATTCCATATGTCTCTAGTTCCACTGTTCTCACAGTTCATTGTTCCCATCATGTTTCTCAGTTTCTCATGTTCTCATCATGTTCTCCATCATGTTCTCATCATGTTCCTCATCCATGTTCTCATCATTGTTCTCATCATTCCCATCATGTTCTCCATCATGTTTCTATATGTCTCATCATTCATATGTTCTCATCATGTTTTCATCATGTTCTCATCATGTTCTCATCATGTTTTCATCATGTTCTCATCATGTTTTCATCATGTTCTAGCTACTCCGTCCTCACCTCTCTGGTGGCGGTGACCTGCTGCTCCCAGTGTTTCTCCATATGCATCTGGGCAGCGCTGCTGACACTGGTCATGCTGGTCATACTGGTCATACTGGTGTAGCCGGCTTCAGCCACGTAGTCTCCCTGTTTCCATGGCGGCAGGACTTCAGCTGCAGCTGATACCTGCTCAACAAGCATGAAATTTTTTGCAGTCAACAGGAGACTTTTACTGTGAAAAACCAAAAACCCAACCATGACGTTCTCTGTGTGTGATGTGGAAATTCTGATTCACTTGAAACTGGAGCAAGTTTCGTTGCATATGAAGCACAAAGGGATGAAGACCAATAAAAAATGATCTGTCCATGTGTCTTCTCTGTCTCTGACCACCTGCAGTCTTTGCTCTGACTTCCTGGTTTGGTGATGAGTGTGTCTGGATGTGAGTGTTCTCACCTGTTTCCTGGTCATCACAGGAGACTTGACCGGTCTGATGGGGGAGACGGACAGTCTGGTGGAGGGAGAAACGGGTCTGCAGACAACAGGATGCAGATTATAATACAGCAAAACAACACACAGCTAACGTCACTCTCCCTCTGATCATTCCTGTCAGCTTCACATCTGCTCTGTGCTATATCTTGTTTTCGATGACAGTTGTTACGGATCAATATGAAGCGTCAGGGATTCGGCGGCGGCGGTCATACCTGATAGGTGTGGGTGTCGGCCCCTTCACGTGTCTGACAGGTGAAGGTGACTGCTGGCGCCCTCCGGACATCTTGGAAACAAAGGAGGGCGGGGACTTGGAGGTCGGCTTTGGGGGAACCCGCGGGGGGGTTTTGTGAGCCAAATGCTGAGTCATCATTCCTCCTTCTACATGCATCTCCATCATGGCGGAGGCCTGGAAACTTGCCTCCATTTTCTGAGGGGAGGGTCACATATTGAGTGATTTAAACATCTCCAAAACGTTTTAATGAATCCTTAAAATGTAAAATCTTAAATTTAAAAAGTTCAATTCTAACACACAAACACCACCAGAGCTCCAGACTGTAGTTCATTACAATCTGTGAGATTCACAGACGCTTTAGTTAAAATCCTAAACTGCCAACGAGCAACAGGTTGAAGATCTGGAGAATCTCTGAGTCAGAGTCGTTGTTTTGTTTCAGACTCAGCTCTTCATCTGTTCTCATGTCGTCATGTGACGGACTTTTGGAGGGAAGATCTAAAGATGAATAATCCAATGATTGTTTTTCTCTGCGACATCAGGTGACGTTACAGAGAAAATAGTTTTATTATGAATTTGATTATTTTGTTTGGGAAAAGATTAATTTTCAAAGCTGCTGATGCAGATTCAAGGATTTCAATCGATCAATGAATCAATCGATCTATTAGACGTCACTTTATTCTGAAAGGACATGTTGCAAAAATAAATGATGTTAAAAAAACATTTAGAAAAACGGGAAAGATTTATTGAAGTAGAAAAAATGTGTCACGTAGAATATGAATTATTTACTTATTTATTTCTTTGAGTATTGAACATCTTTAGGTCGTGAAGCCTCATCGATTTAGTGAGGTAATGTGTTTGTGGAGTGTGACTTAGTGTGTGAGGTTTGATCTGTGTTTACTGTCTTCTGGTTATTCATGTCCTATGAAGGAACCTGTAGGAACCTTGGATCAGATCTACTCAGTTTGTTTGAGTCTCACCCTCTGCACTCTGGTCTGGGAAGTCGCCATCTGGGATGTGGACACAATAGTCTTGGTTTTCTTAGCGGGCACAGCTTCCTCACCTGCAGCAGAGACACCTGGAGGTTTAGGCTGAAGGTTTATTTTAAAACACAAAATGCTCACGGTCCATTCAGAACTCTTCATTATATCTGTTAATATCTGTTAATGTCATTTAAATGTACATGTTTCAAGATAACGACTGGATGTGAAAGTGTTGTTACCCTGAACCAGCAGTTCTGCGGTGGAGGTGGCCCGTCCACTGCTGTTGGTAGCGGTCACAGAATACGTCCCAGAATCCTCTGGGAAGGCCTCAGCGATCAGCAGACTATACAGGTCTCCCTCCTGGAGGATCCTGAAGTCGGCCGAGCTCTGGATCTCGGCTCCCTCTCTGTAGAACTTGACCACAGGTTCGGGGATACCTGTGACTCGGACATCCAGCCTCACCTGGCTGCCCTGTCTCACTGTGGAGCTCTGCAGTCTCTGTAGGAAGTTTGGAGGCGCCGTCTCCGCTGTAGACAGAGAATATGTCTTGTTAGGCCCGAGTTAACGAGGACGTGTTAATGTGAAGTCGCTAACACCGGAGCAGGGCCATGAATGAGGAGGAAGCTTTTTTTTCCATTGTGCACTTCGAGAAAAAAGTCAAACTGACTCAGAAGAGGAAGATTTCTTTTATTTTGAATTTCGAGGATAAAGTTGAAATGTCGAAGTCAACCCTCCCCTGTCATTTTCTTTGCCTGTCAGTCGCGCCGTCATCCTCCCAAGTGTCAATACAACCATTGACAGCAACACTGTGCAGCTTCAGCTCATCGAACAAGTCGATGTGCCGCAGAGCGTGACCTTTGTTGCCGTAATGCCTGAGTCTCAGACACCGCGCCCGCCTGAGCTCCACGCCTTCAGGATCAAACAACATGATCAGTTGTCTTATTGTGAATTCTGAATCACATCGTAAAACATTATCGTATTATTGGGGACACAAGTCAATGTAGAGAACAATGTGTAATTAGACATATCGGCATTTAAAATATTTATTTTAACATTCATGATGCTGGTGGGAGAAAATACAGGAAAACAAAACTAACAAGGAGTGAATGACGTAAATATGTGAGAAGATGAACTTTGACCCCTGAACTCTCATTTCACACATTCAAGCTGTTTTGTTATCATCTAGTTGACACGAGATCCTCACTGGTTCAGCTTCAAGTCGTTAATCGCTTCATAAACTCCACGGTCCTCTTAAGGAAAGTTATGCTGCTGCAGCAGCTGCAGCTGGATACAGTGACACACACCAGAGACCACACACACACACACACACACACACACACACACACACACACACACACACACACACACACACCACAGAGACCAGAACAGGACAAATATAGACGTTGTCTCTTTGTGGTAAATTTTACAACAGTCAGTCCCAACCAAGGAATCTGATTGGACGAGAGTGATATATAGAACAGCAGCACTGGGACTTTAACTCCACGTATCACTCCTCTTCACAGCTGTCCTATCAACTGTTAATCAGCGTCACATTAACATCGTTACCGATCTCAGATCGTAACAAACAAAGATGAAAATATTTCAGAAATATCTTTTGAATGAAACGATGTCGTCAGGAGAGGATGAAGGAAGAAGGTGGATCCTTCAGAAACACCTGAGGGAACGTGTAGAGAAATTTATATCTCGTGTGATATTGCTTCAGTCTCTTTGTGGTTGACTGACAGTCACTTCAACAAAGGTTCTGACCCGGAGCTGCTGACCCGCAGGTCTGTGCCTGGTGGATTCACCTGTAACCAGGAGTTTCAGTCTACCTGCGGCCTCACCTGTAACGAGGAGTTCGGCGGTGCTTGTGGCTTGTCCAGCGCCGTTGGTGGCTCTGACAGAAAATCTTCCGCTGTGTGCGGCGGTCACAGCGGGGATCCTCAGAACAGCGCGGCCGTCGCTGAACGAGATCTGAACGCCGGGCAGAGCGGCGGCGGAAAGAACCTGGCCATCACGGAACCAGCTCACCTCAGGAACTGGAGAACCTGCAGAGGAGAACCAGAGACACCAATGATCCTTACTGACTGATGAGATGCTCCGACATTTACCAGTCCAGTCCACAGGTCCAGGACGTTTAGCCTAGCTTAGCACAAAGACTGGAGGCAGAGGGAAACTGTTAGCCTAGCGTCATCTAAAAGACTTTGTTTACTCTTTAGCTTCTGTGCTAATCCTAGCTTTAGCAATGATAACATTCACTCTTAATCTTACAGTGTACAGCAACTTTATTTTGTAAATCTTGCGTACAGGAAGTCAGTCGGAAAGTTTTCTTACCACTAACTTGAGCCTCGAACATCGCAGCACTACCCTCAAGTGCTACGACGCTCTGCAGCGGCTGTGTGAACGTTGGCGCCTGTGTTGTCATGTTGGTTGGCACCCTGCAGAGACGACAGAGACAAACACACACATTATATCTTTAACCACTCATGCTGGTTATTGCACTCCACGCAAGTTTTAGACACTTGAATTGTTTAGACCCTTGTCCATCAGGAGGCGTCTGATTGGTCCAGTCATCCTGCAGCAGGACAATGAGTCCAAACTCAGAGTCTTATAGAACTGTCTTCAGAGACCAGAAGAACCAGGAGTCCTGCAACAGATGGTCTGGACCCCACAGAGACCAGTTCTCCTCAGTACACCTGTGTGCAGGTGTACTGAGGAGAACTGGTGCTGGTCTAAAGACAAAGTTGGTCACAGCAAATCCTGATCTGGTTCAGGTTTTTTCTCTTACTGCACTTTAGACGATGTTCACTGAGAAATAGAAACTGTTCATGCTTTTACTTTGAAGGCGTCCTCACAGACAGAGCAGCGTCTAACTGACCCGTCTGCTAGTCAAGTTTGGTTTAGTCTGACATTAGTTAATCATCTGTCCTGAACCTTAACTAATGATCATTGTCTAAAACTAATGAGACATTAGCCACAGAAGAAATGCTAACATTAGCGAATTAGCCATAAACACAAACTGCACTGTAAAGTAGTTGTAAACAGATCTGAGGACGTTCAGTGTTTGTTCCAACGTCTCCTATGAAGACACACATTTTACTGTATTGTCATCAGAGAACTGAAGACGTCAAGAAACTCTAAGAGACAAAATCCAGATCCTCCTCTGAGTCTAAAATAAACAAAACGCTCCTTTAAAAAGTCCAGATTTCTCTAAAAACCTTCATGTGTTTTCTCTCTGACACTGGACCTGCTGACAGCCAGACTCCGGCTGTGATAAAGCAGCAGCAGCAGCAGCTCAGGTCCTGGGTCTGACCCACCTCAGGGTCTATTTTTAGGAGCTGTGTCCCTGGAGGGGGTCCAGGCTCCGCAGGGTCTGGCTGATAAACCACCAGCTGATCCACTGCAGATTAAAACACCTGTTTAACTCCGGGGAACTGGTCTCAGGTTTCAGTCCCAGTCTAGTTTAGGTCTTAAAGATGATTGAAACGATAATTGATCCCATTAAAACATCATGTACAATACGTACTCATTTAAAAAAAACTTTTGATTAAAGGACACAAACTAATTGGATTTGTTCCTAATCACCTCAAATATTTCATCTTATTAACCACCAGGTTCAATCTGAGTGTTTGTGTCATCATTTCAGAATAAAATGCAGCAGGTTTCCCCTGCTGAAGCGCCCTTGTGCAACGCTTCGCTCAGGTCTGGTTTGATACTGACAGAAGAGACAGACAGGAAATGTGGGGTGAGGTTCCCACCAGAATCAAACCAGTGATGCTGCAGGTACATGTGGAACTGTAACCTTACATTTAGACACTAAACCAGTTGTAAGTGCTCTGGTTATTTTCTCAGTGAACTGATTCATCAAAAACAGCTTCGGCCCATTATCAACATATCAGAAAAGTAGGATGTCACTCAATAGAGCACAGTCCTCCGCCAAACTCACAATCCTACAGGTGTGTGAGATCCAGGTTATAATCTGTAAACTCACACATCTCAACCAACACCAAGAATTTCTCTGATTTCACATCGAGATTCAAACATTGTTGACAAACATGTCCAAAAATTGTCTCTGTTGCAATGTTAAGGAAAGTGAAAAAATCCTGGACCCGCCCCTTTAACCAGATCAGCGCCAAAATGTAATGGGTTCATCGCTGGCCCCTCCCCCATCCCTCCACTAAGTTTCAGGTAAATTGGTTCAGTACTTCCTGAATAATCCAACAACTGACTAAACCACCAGAGACCAGGGAGAACACGACGTCCTCGTGGAGGTTAAAGGAACAAGCTAGTGGATATATAAGAGGTTTTTTTTGGCATTTTGTGCTTTTAAAATAATATTTAACAATTAGTGTCAACTGACTGATAATTGATCCAGTGACGGATCTTTTCAGCCCTATTTCAAGGTTTCACACACAATGATCAGGTTTAATCAAAAACATCATGAAACGTCATTAAAAATCTCAACTTCTCTGTAGCTGCTTTAAACTGAATGAAACTTGTTCCAGGACAAAGACGTGATTTTAGGTTTTAAACAGAGAAGGATCTGACTGTAGGTGTGAACCGTCCTGACTGAAGTAAAACTCTCTCAGAGGACGTGAAGAACGGGAACCTCTGACAGAATTAGATGGTCGTTGAGTTTTTACAGAGAAAAACATTTAAAACTCAATTTAGTAAAAATATTCAAATGAATGTTAATTATTTTACATTTGTCCCTGTGATTGGCCCTGCTTGTCCCTGGTGTCTCTGTGCTGGCAGCAGGTCCTCCTGGTCCAGGTCCAGGTCCAGGTCCAGGTCCTGGTCCTGGTCCTGGTCTGCTGACAGACAGACGAGAACAGCTGTGAGCGAACAGGACCTGAACCAGGATATGAACCAGGATATGAACCAGGATATGAACCAGGACCTGAACCAGGACCTGAACCAGGATATGAACCAGGACCTGAACACCCTGCAGCAACAACTCTGACAAAAATCATATTTTACAGCAGATATTTATGTTTTCATGGTTTTTATTGAAACTAGTGTTTAAAGTTTATTATCTGACTGTTTTTATGGAGAAGAAATAATAAAGTAGTTTTAAGTTCTCACTCTTTCATTCTCTCTAAAGTTTATATTCTTAGTATTAACTTAAATATTAACATAATTAGTCTAATAATCAATTAGTCAATCATCAGGAACTGCTTTGGGAACTTTTTCATAATTAATTGTTTAAATCATTTTAAAGCAGAAATTCTTGTTTCTTCAACTTCTACAATATAAACTTCATATATTTGAATTTTGTTATTTAAAAGTTATTTAAAGGTTAAAATTGAGAGATTCTTGTCATGTTTAAATGTTTTATTTTTTACTTTCATTTACTTAAAAATTATTAATGTTAATTTACACATTAATTAACAACATATATCAGGTGAATCCCTGAATTTGCTTTTGAATTTTGAAAATTTCTTTTCATACTAAAATACACTTGTTTATATTAAATTATAGTTATAAATTTGTCAAATAATACAAATAGAGTAAATTTAACAGAGTAAATTATGTTCCCCTGAAAATCTGCTTAATTAATGATGTAAATTAAGGGGTTTTGAAAACCAGGTTGTTTTTAAGAGGTTTTCAAATTCAGTCTCTTGGATTCACATTCAGGTGTTTGTTGTTTATATGAGGTTTTAATGGATTTTAACATGTTGAACATTTAAACATTGTTTTTAAAGTTTGAAAGATTTTCTGTTTTCTAACTAACAAAGAGAATCTGATCCTTCACTTCACTTCACTTCACTTCACTTCACTACACTTCACTACACTTCACTACACTTCACTTCACTTCACTTCACTTCACTTCACTTCACTTCACTACACTTCACTTCACTTCACTTCACTTCACTTCACTACACTTCACTAGCCCTTCTCTAGTTTTCTCTGTAGAACTTTAAAACCTTTGGACTGAAGGAACCGGATCACAGTGAGAACTCACTTCATGTTCTTCAGACACTTTTTCAAACTCAAAAGAAAAACGTGCTGAGGGTTTTTCAGACTGTGGAGAAATGACCTGAGCAGGAGTTAAATCAGGTTTCGGTGGATCCCTGAACCCGACGCGGAGCAGATCTGGTTTCAGCTAAATTAATCTGATGACTCAACCGCATGTTAACGAAGTGACTGGATGAAACTCAACAGTCGTGTCGAGTTATTCAGAGGTGAGTCTGAGATGAAGCCGATGTTTCTCACAGGGTCAACAGTTCTGAAAGTGACTGTGTGAAGAACATTTATTTAGATTTATTTAGATTTTCTGCTCCAGAGAGAAACACTGACTCACTTTACATCAACAACGTACGATCAGCTCGTTTAATATAATGAACTGTTGCAGTTTAAAGTTTCAACGTTAAAATGCTGCTTAATACTTTCACTAAAGTTATGGATCTGAATCTTTATTCTGTTATCAAACCACTCCAGAATAAAACATAAAAAAATGCCACATTTTATTTTTTATTTCTTATCTGTTTATCATATTATATTTATCCATTTTTTATGTCTTATTTTATTTTTCCATCAGCAATACAAAATATTCCATGTAACAAAATTTGATTTGTGTTGTTTGTTTTGTATCTTATCTTAGGAACAGATTAAAACTGAATTTCTCCACTTGCTTTTAATTTAATTAGTCATGTTTTTCCCTTTTTTCCTTTTTAAAATTCTGTGTAAACCCCCCCCCCCCCCTTCTCTCTCCATGTGCTTGACCACCAGACGTTTTTTTAAATAAAAATCAAACACAGTTCATTTATAAATGTTGATAATAACTAAACCTCACTCGGCTCAAACTGGTAAATCAGAGTCAACATGAACATTATTCACAGTGTCTCACAGGATTCATTTCTGGAGACTCATCACATGTTTTAAATTTAGTTTGCTCTTACTGACACACAGACGTTTAACAGGAAGGATCCATGAATACAAAAACATGAAGCAGCATATATATATACACACATATATACATATATATATATATACATATATACATATATATATATATATATATATACATACACAGTGTATATATGCTCTCCTCACACGGATTCTTCATCTGGAAACAGTGACAACAGCAATGAGGGAACAAGAAAAGGTTCCTCCTTCAAAATAAAGTAAATGCCACAGAATCAAACTGCTGAGACATCATATGGATTTTAAACTTTGTTGAAAAGTGCTGCAGATCACATAGAGCCCCCCCCCCAGCCTGCACTCTCATTTTTTAAATCTTGACGACAGACCAGCAGCTGTTCTCTCTCCTCCACAATAAAAGCCTCCCTGCTCTCACTCAGACACTTCCTCCCCACAGAGCTGTAATGTAACAAGGGGGGGGGGGGGGTTATCCAAGACAGGACACCAAACACTAAAAATAACAGCCCCAGCCCCCTCCCCTCCACCACACCTTCATTTGATTGACAGCCACCATGTGGCACATAGCTGGAGGAGCAACTGATAGCCCTGCTGCTGATTCCCTTAAAAAGCCATCAGCCCCCAGCTGACAGTCCACTGTGATGCTATCAGGGTCTATTCTGGGACGTCCCATTATAACCTTCAACATGGAAAAGCAGCAGAAAGCCTCCAATATGTCAGAGTCACTTTCTGAAAAGTGAAGAAAAGTGAATGGAGTCTGGAGGGAGAGGCGGAGTCAGGTCTGAGTGTTAGAAGACAAAGGTCTGGGTGTTAGAGGCGTCAGTCAGCTGCAGCTCGTCAATCACCACACTCTGAAAACTTTAAACACACTTACTTGTCTGCACAAGGATGCCTGGGATGCCCAAAGGAGGGCTGACTGCAGAAGATCAAAAACTCTTTATCCAGAAATTTCAGTCAGAAAATCCAAGAGAACAGCTGAGCCTCGAAGGAACCCCACAGAAAAAAACAAAACTACAGGCCGTCAGCGCCGTGTAGTTTTGTTTTCCCTTCTGACAGCAGTCCCTCCAGCCGAGGCGTCCAGGCCGGGAACGCTGACTCTGCTCAGAGCAGGCAGCCGGGCGGCGGGGGGCTTTATACCGCTGTGACATCACAAAGGACGAACCACGCCATTGGTCGGTGCTGCAGGGAATCATGGGAGGGCAGCGGAGCCATTTTATGCAAGTTGTCACACCTGTCAGCTGGTTTACCTAAGAGAGCGACAAGAGATGTTTCCAGATTTACTCCAAATGTAGAGAAGTGACACATATAACATTATAACTCCAGTTAATCCAGCTGTTTCACCTCTTCACTTTATAAAATGTCATAAAACAGTTTGTCTGTAGAGCTGAACTGATTCACAACAATATTTAAATTCAGATTCCAGCTGCTCAGATGTGAATATAAGTTTCTGAAAAAATAAATCATTTTCAAAAAACTACATCTGAACTGTCACTTCTGGAAATCTGTCTCAATTTCTTTACATTTTATGGGTGAAACAATCAAGAAAATGTCTTTTTAATTCTATAATGTTTCTGTCTTTATTTATTATTAAAAGCACTAAAATAATGGTAAGAAGTAAATTCATGAAGCCAAAGGTAACGTCATCAACTCACATATCACATATCCTCTAATCTGCATGAAAACTAATTATATTCAGTGAAATAAATATTCAGAATATTCTCCTACAGCTTCTTCTTCTGTTTAATAAGTTGTGAAATTATATTGTAATTGTACTTTAAGGTGGATCTCTGAGTTTTTTTGGCTCGTCTTTATTTTATCAGCTGTGTTAAATTTCTCTTTTGCGTGAAGATGGAGAAAATCTCAAATCTTTCTTTAGCTAATAACTTTTTTTAAGTGTTTGATGTTTAATTGACTAAATGATTAATTAAAATAATCAATAATGTAAATAAAGGTTTGTTGATTAACAGCAGCTGAATCAGCTGTGATCACTTCCTGTCTGCAGTGTATCATGATGTTTTACTATGAAACTGAAGGAAACTTAAAAACAGGAGGATTCTGAATGAAGTTCTGCAGACTCTGTTTCTCTGGTTTCTAAGTGGATTCTGGAGTTTTATTGTGGCGGGACATCAGAGGACATGACATCATCAGGAACAGATCAACATGGTTCAGGTCTGACTCAGTTAAAATGTGTTAAATTACCGGAGCACAGTGAAGGTTTCATCCTCCCCCTCCTGAATGGAGCTTCATGATACAGGCTCCCAGCTCTGGAAATCACACTGACTCCATTTCCCAGCATGCATGTGGCGGCCGGAGGTGGCTCCTCTTCCCCCTTGGTGCGTGTGTCATAACCCTAGAACAGCCAATCAGATCAGTGCTGAGTTTATAGAAGGGCCCTGTCAATCAAAGTGACCAATCAGCAGCTCAGACATGTGGTTCACATGTCAGAGACTCAACTGATCACTTTTCAAATTATCCATTGGTTTTGTTATTGATCTGATGTTTATTTAACCAGATATGATTTTACATAAAAACATATGATGAGAAAAAAGTAAAAGTACTTCAAGTAGTTGAAGTATCACATTGATTTTATTTAGTACTTTTACTGTGATACCTTAACTACATGAAGTGCTTTTACTGGGATACTTTAACTACATGAAGTACTTTTATTGTAATACTTTAAATGAAGCTGATAGTCCTTGTGTACTTTTACTGTGATACTTTAACTACATGAAGTACTTTTACTGTAATACTTTAAAAGAAGCTGATAATACTTGTGTACTTTTACTGTAATACTACATGGAGCTGATGATACTAACATATTTTACACCTGTCAGTTCCTCACTCACTTTGTTGGCTAACGTTAGCTTTCTGTTTAAGCTAGCTCCATTTGTAACTTCGACTGAACTTACTCTGATTATTTGCTCGGAAACTTTTGTTTCACCTGTTTTCCTGCATGAAGTCCAGTATCCTCAGATGCCTCAGTCATCGCATAGATGTCCTCTGTCTGCCCAGAGTGATAAAACGTTTTCGCGGGAGGAATAGCACCGTTTCATCGCTAGCTACATCCATCACTTCCAGAGTCAGATAGCTAGTTAGCCGGAGAACACAGCGGAGAGCAGCGGCGCAGTCTGTAGAAATACCTGATTTAAACGTTGGTGTTGACTCGGACAAACATGTTATCATTCCGGACAGAAAGTAGTCTTGTGTGGGATGAGGTCAGTACCACTGAAGACACAGACTGTTGCAGTATTAGGGATGAAAAATAATGTTTTTTCTGTTCTCCTGCGGTTTGTGGCGGGAACGTTTTGTGAGTGAATCACAGAGTAACGTCCAGAGTGCAGAGAGTTAATGGCGCTACTTACCTGCTAACTACACTGATAATAACTCTTATACACACTCTTTGAATTAAACATTTTCCCTTTGTAAACATTAAGTTTACAACAACATTTACATTTTCTTTACAGTGGGGTCCAAAAGTTTTTTTTTGCTCAAGAAGGTTCAAACTGAGTGAAATGCCCCGGAAGTATCTGAGCGGCAGCCATGATGAGAGCTGGTCGAACTATCTAAAGCAAGAGGAAAGGAGCTTCAATGCTTCCTCTCTTGTCTCCTTTAGCAGAGGAAACACTGGGGCTGGGGTCGAAAAGTCAAAATAATATCCTTTCCTAACCACTTCTTCTTGACCTTGATGGAAAAAGTCATGAGGTCAATGAAAGATGTGAGGGAGACTTCATGAGGAGTTAGGAAAATAATCTGACTCCACTTGTTTGTTTGTTTTAAATTAACTTTATCTTTATTACGAGAATAAAGTCGTAATTTTGAGAATAAAATCATAATATTAAATAAATATTTCAAGAAAAAAAGTCATAATATTACAAGGATAAAGTTATGATTTTATGATTTTACTGTCAAAATTTCTGATTTTTTTTTTTTTTCAAAGTGGCCCTAATACTCCACCGTACAAAACAAACAGGATTTAAATGTTGAAATACGATAATATGAAAGGAATATACAACTAGAAAGAGCTGAAAGAGCTTAAGTAAGAGATCAGAATAAATTATATTCAGACATAAGTATACTTCACATTTTTTTAATACATTTGTTAAGAAAATTTATTTTCAGTGAATTCCACATTGTTCTTCATGATGATACTCAGCTGTATTTTTCTTTCATGTTAACTTATTTCAACATTTCAGTTCTGTTTGTCCATGGTCAGTAAAGAAGGACCTATCATCCGTGTGTTATAAATAAAGTATAAAATCCAATTATAAATGCAGTGGGATTACTGGACTGAATCTGAGGCATTTCAATAACAATTCACATGGATTCAATTGAGTCATTGACAGGGCGTCGAGTGGCGCAGTGGGTTGAGCAAGCGCCCCATATGCAGAGGCTAAGGCCTCGCTGAAGTTGGCCCCGGTTCGAATCTCGCATCGGACAGCCCTTTACTGCATGTCATTCCCCCTCTCTCTGCTTCCCCATTTCCTGTCTCTCTACTGTACTATCAATAAAGGCATAAAAAAGCCCCCCAAAAAAAAAAAAAAATTTAGTCATTGAGGCAGTTTTTTTCCCTCTCAGTGATAATAAATGACACAATAGAAACACAGTCATATTCTACTGAGGTCTGTTATAAATACTGTGAATATATTTAAAACCACATGACATTTATTTATCAGGTAAAGTGAGCAGAAAGAAAAAGTCATCATTTTATATCTTTATTAACATCTTCTACTATCAGTGTTATTGTTAGGACTCAGCTTCTGTATTCATATACAGTGTGTAGACAGCATTAATGTGATAAAAGATAAATGACCCAAACCTCTCTGTACACAAGATCCATATCTGAGGAGATAATAACTTCTTCTTCTGGATAATATGGAAGCTTATTTCTACCAACGACAGAAAAAGAAAAAGTTAAAACTTTGACTCACTTAATATCTGATAATATTAGTTATTTAATTATTTAGTACTTACCCAGCAAGTCAAAATTTTAGACAAGTCAAAAAAGAATTTAGATTTAGAGAATCAAAATTACACTAATATTGATTCTCTAAATCTAAGTTTTTATTTCTTATCTCATTTTTTTTCTGACTTTACAGAGTCATAATTTTGGCTTTTCTTAAAAAATGATCAAAATTTAGAAAGTCAAAATTTGGACCTGGAGAGATTTGCTTTTTTCTCTTTGCGGCACTTTGGATGAAGAATAAACTATTCATGGAGTTATTTTGGAAAACACAAAACACACAGCTGAACCACAAGGTTCTTAAAAGTCCAGGTCGTGAAGCTCCAGGTCAAAGGTCATTCAGTTCCTGTGGTGGGAAAGAGTTATTAGAGTAGAATCAGGTAGAGCAGCCACAGGAGAACACACAGGGTACCAAACCAGGTCTGCCAGTCCGCAATGATGATGTCAAACACTTCGGCCACCAGCCACTTATCACTGCTGCTGCTGTTACCAGCCGTCCGCTGCGAGTCGTGATGGTTCGCAACACGCGCCTGGTTTATCCCGCCATCTGAGCTGGGCGTCTTTGTGTTAAACAGGAAGTGTTTCCTGTCCTCGCAGACCGCTGCCGGGCCCGGATTGGTGGCTGACATGTCTCCATCTTTAAACCTGGAGCGACCACGATGACAGGAAGTCAGACAGCGCACAGCCTCACTCAAGAGCCAGGGGAGGCCTGACAACAGCTCTGATACAATACACATAACCCTGACAGCATCACCTGACAGCCAAACACCAGATCTGTGAGTAATGATGTGTGAGATTCAACCTTTATCTTGAAGCAGTGTTTATGTGTCAGTGCTCAGTGTTAGCTTCACAAACAGAATGAAACCACCTGCAGGAATCACAGAACACACAGTTCACTATCAAACTTATGTTAATCAGTCTCTAAATTAAAGTGAAAGTCAGAAAGCAAACAATCAGTGTCTTAGAATTATTAAATGTTGTTATCAAACTGCAATATAGCTTTAACACACACATAAAATGTCATTTCACTTCCAAGCCTCATGTA